CTGCATCTTTTTTTACTCGGGCCTCTTTGTGGTGGCTGAGGCAGCTACAGGACAGAATCCCACCTGAGGATCTCAGGGTGCATCAGAACCTGAATAAGATTATAGCTGCGGCTCAATTGACTGCTGATGCCACCCTCACGTCAGCCAAATTTTCTTCCAGAGCCATGGCCTCTTCCATAACAGCATGCAGGCTTTGACAGAAATTGGCAGATGGATGTCAAAACCAAATGGAAGCTGGTGTCGGCTCTCTTTAAGGGAGAGAGGCTTTTTGGGGAGGCCCTGGATCCCTTTTTGATGGAAATCAGGGACAAGTGAAAGATCCTGCCCTCCCAGGGGAGGCGCTTTGATTACAGGTCTCATCCCTACTATAGGAAGCCCTCCTTTAAACAGGGGGAAGCTGGGGCAGGCTTTCTCCGTCAAAGTAGGCCCATTTTCCAGAGATCCTCCTCTCAGGCCGATAGACAGGCCTTTGCTGCTAGAGAGCATCAGAGGCAAGAGGGCAGAAGGTCCTTTAGGGGTTCCAACAGACCCTTCAGGTGCAGCAAGTGACGCCTGAGCCTTATCCCCCATAGGGGGCCATCTGGGAGTGTTCTGGCAGAGGTGGCAACAGACCACAATGGACGTTTGGATCCTGTCAACCTTACGATCGGGCCTCTCTCTAGAGTTTCTCTCCCCTCCCAGAGCCTTTGTGTGCTGCCCCATCTCCAGGGACCCCTCAAAGAGGGATCTCATGGAATCGGCGATCCACCATCTGCTGGACATTCGGACCATCCAGCCGGTTCTGGTGGACCAGGAGAGTCGGGGTTTCTATTCAATGTTGTTTGTTATTCCAAAGGCCTTGGGGGGTGGTGGCGAGCAATCCTCAACCTGAAAGGGCTCAATGGACATCTAATCTACCGAAGGTTCAAGATGCACTTCCTCCACTCCATTCTAGAGGGACTACGGGAGGGAAATTTTTTGGCCTTGGTAGACTTGACGGACGCCTACCTCCATGTGCCCATACACCCCAACCACCAGTTCCTGAGGTTTTGCTATGGCGGCCGCCATTTTCAATACAGGGCTCTCCTGTTCGGCCTGTCATCAGCCCCTCAGACTTTTACCAAGCTCTTGGCAGCAGTAGCAGCACACCTCAGAGCCTTACCCATAAGGATCCAATGCTATTTGGACGACATCCTGATAGCATCCTCTTCCAGACCCCAGGCGGAGGAGGATCTGATGTCGACAATCAGGATTCTTCGAAAGCATGGGTTCTCGATAAACCTGGACAAATGCCACCTAGTACCATCGACTCAGTTCTTGCATTTGGGGGTTATTATAGACACCTTGGCCTGACAGGTTTTTCTCCCACAGGAGAGTCAAGACAGTATCAGGGAAGTCACGTTGCTGATCCTGTCTTCCAGAGAGGCGCCTATCATCTTGCTGTCTCAACTTCTCGGCAAAATGATATCAAGTATCGGGATTGTCCTGTGGGTCCGTTTCCACGCCCGACCCCTTCAGTGGTTCCTGCTCCCTTACCAGAGGGCAAGGAGGGGCAACTCTCCAAGGAGGGTTCGTGTCCCCTTGCCAGTTCTTCATTTCCTCCATTGGTGGCAGTCCCGAGCCATGGATCAGGGATGCTTGTACAGGGACAACGACAGTCTCTATGGTTGGGGGGGCCCACTTGGGAGCTCACATCACCCAGGGGAGGTGGTCACAAGAGGAGCTCTCCCACAACATAAATTGGCTAGAGCTCAGGGCTGCCCGCTTAGCGCTCAAGGATCTAAGGCAAGGGGTGGTGGGGAGACATGTTCTTCTCACGGACAATGTGGCTACCAAGGCCCACATAAACCAGCAGGGGGGCACACGCTCCAGGTCTCTAATGCAGGAGGCAACTCAATTGTACAGGTGGGGGAGAGAAACTGGTTGTCCCTACGAGCAGAACATATCTCGGGAGTATCCAATGTGCAGGCAGACTGGTTGAGCAGGGCCACGGTTGACCAGTCAGAATGGTGACTGCATCCCAGTCTATTCCAGGAGATGACAGAATGCTTCCACCACCCAATTCTGGATCTCTTTGTATCACCAGAGAACACGCACCTCCTGAGGTTCTTTGCTCGATTCCCTGCCTGGGGAGCAGAAAGAGTCAACACTCTCTGGTGCAGGTGGCCCCAGGGACTATTGTATGCCTTCCCCCCACTTTCCATGATTCCAGGGGCAATCAGGAAAGTACTGATAGAAAGGGCGGAAGTTCTGTTGTAGCCCCTTACTGGCCCAGGCGTCCTTGGTTCGCTGACCTGGTGGGCTTGTCAGTCGCCAGACCCTGGAGAATTCCCCTACTCAAGATCTCCCTCAGCCAGGGCCCGATCAGGCACCCAGATCCAGCCTGGTTTCGGTTGACCGTCTGGTGCTTGAGCGGGGGATCCTGAAACGGGAGAAGTTTTCCACAAAGGTCATTCAGACATCCAGGCGGCCAGAAGACCTTCCACAACCAGGATATATAATGTAACGTGGAAGATTTTCTGCAGTTGGTGTGCTAGTCACCAATCAGAACCCACTGTTGTTTCTGTTGCAAAGGTATTAGAGTTCCTGCAGGACGGGTTGGATAGAGATCTCGCCCCCAATACCTTGAAGAGACAGGTGGCTGCCTTGGCCTCAGTGATTTCGGTCAGGGGCTCTACTTCTCTGGCCCAACACCCTAGGGTGAAAGCTTTCCTTAGGGGAGCCATGAATCTGAGGCCACCAATGGTCCACCACTACCCCACCTGGGATTTGCCTAAGGTCCTGCAAGTGCTAACTTCTCCCCCATTTGAACCCTTACATGAGGTCTGCCTTCGCCTTCTCACGTGCAAGGTGTCATTCTTGGTGGCCATTACCTCGGCCAGGCGTATTTCAGAGTTGGCGGCCTTATCCATCAGGAAGGATCTGTGTGTATTCCATGCAGACAGGGTGGTTCTGTGGTTGGACCCTACCTTCCTGCCCAAGGTGAACTCCTTATTCCATCGTTCACAAGAGTTGATTTTGCCTAATTTCTGTCCTGAGCCTACCCATGCACTGGAGAGAAAATGGCACACCTTGGACCTTAGGAGGGCTCTCCTTATTTACATTAAAAGAACTTCTTCTCTTAGGAGGACGGAAGCCCTCTTTGTTTCCTTTCAGCCATCAACTTTAAGTCGCAGGGTGACACCTTTCATAGCAGGTCGCTGGCTCAGAACCTGCATTGCAAAGGCCTATGAGTTACAGAGCCTTCCCGTACCCAGGAGCATCACAGTGCACTCAACCAGAAGTACAGCGACCACGGCAGCCTGGGCAATGCAGGCATCGATTCTGGACATTTGTAGAGCTGCGACCTGGTCATAGGTGACCCCATTCATAAGACATTACAAAATTGACTCCTTTGCCTCAGCGGAGGCATCCTTTGGAAGATGAGTCCTGCAGGGTGTGCATGTAGAGGTGGGGACCTCCGACCAATCCAGATCCTACCCGTAGGACAGCCATCAGCCAGCTTTGGTATGTCCCATCCTGGATTCTCCCTTTGGCTCAGTGGAGAAGGTGCATTGGTCCTACCTGAACGCTTCTTCTCGGGGAGTCGAAGGGAGAATTCAGTCCCACCCTGTATTCTGTCTGGTCGCAATAGGGAGGAAATGTCCCTTTTTTTCGCAGTATCAACTGAACTATCTGTTTGAGGACAAGGAGCAGTTGAATTTGCTTCAACGTCATTCAGAACTGGGGACCGTTACCAGGGGGTGTGTCCTCAGTTTTTCAACTCGGTCTGCAGAGCTAGGAGACTAGAGACTACTACCCGTCCTGGATTCTCCCTTCTGCTCCCCGAGAAGAAGCGTTCAGGTAGGATCAATGCCCCTTCACTTTCAATACAAATCTGATTATTTCACTTAATTTTAGTACTGTATTTAGAGTGGAAATTAGATATCGATCTACAGCAGTATCTCACAATCATTTATTTCTACTTGTTTATTAGTGGAAACAGCCAATAGATAATCAAACATTTGTAAGAATTATGGAAGAATAAAGTACTGTGTTCTTTACAAAGCAGAGACACGATGATAAATTTGGATTATTGCTGACTTGAGAGGCGGCTGCAGATACGTTGCTTTTCTGCCAGTGGATGTGAGTCATATTCCCGCTGAAGTTCATGTCCTTCCAGCACCAGCTGTCAGGGTTTCCCAAGTCAGCAATATTATTAGACCCCCTGAATATTCCAGCTGCACTCAGCAAGGGTTGTAACAAACACTGAGATGGTGAAGCTAGGAAGCAGCCAAACACAGCATGAGCCTCTCTATCCAGATCCTGAAAGGTTTTTTGGGTGGCCAGATGTTCTCATTACTGTCATTCCAACAAGCAGGAGCGAGCAAGGGAGGTTTAAGGGGCCTGGAAGCAATGTATAAATAGTTAGATGCAAAGCAAGGAAAGGAAAGGAAGGTTGACAACGCTTGGTTTTTTGTGTCTTATAGTGTAGCAATAGCCAAATCAAAAGTTAGATTAGAAGCTGGCTTGCTTTGGAGGAAGTTTTCTTTATGGCTTTGGGGAAGGAAAAAAACGAAAGAAATTTGTGGAATCCAGCTAATATAGAGAGTGTAAAATCTTTGGTTAGATTTCAAGATCCATTTGTGTCTCCATCATTTGCAACAGCATCACAGACTGCTTAGAATTGGGTTTTTACAGTTAACTCTCAGTTTTATGGGCCCCAGTTTACCAGATATGAAACCCCTGCACATTGCCATTTTATGCCTACATAAAAACCCATTTGCCTTATCACACACCTATGTCAAATAGCCATGTATAAAAATACTATTCATACTTAACAGACAATTGGTTGACTGGAGCTCCTCCCCATTAGACTGTAATCTTTATCTCTAGATGTTATAAATGCTGATAATTAATGCAGGTGAATTAATCAAGTTCTGTAGAAGACCAATAATGGATAAGAGCATTATATTCTTTTTTAAAAAAAAAAAACAGTCTTCAGTTTGACTCATAGATTGTTCCTTTTGATTTTGTAATAGGGAAGGCTGCTTCTCCCCAATCAGTCCGGAGACATGTCCACTGGTACAGTCCTTCCTTTCTCCAACTCGAGCATTCCTATTGGAAGGACATGTACAACTGAAGACAGGTCTGCAGACTCAGGAACGACACCTGTTCCTCTTTACTGACATCCTTGCGGTTGCTAAATCCAAGTAAGTTTTCTTGCAGAATGTGTAAGTATTCTGTAAGGGGGCGTGCATAAGTGCACCAGAGTGCCTACCATCCTTCTCCTACTGTTCCCATTTATCCATTTATTCGTATTCATTTATTATGTATATACTGATACCTGTTTGTACTTATATGTTTATATGCTATGTTCATACTTGTACTTATTTTCTCATGCATGCTTGACAAACAAATAAACAAACAAACAAACAAATAAAATAGAAATGTCCTCTTGGTAACAGTCAGCATCCCTTACTATAGTTTATGTTGTGGAGTGGGCAGGAGGCTCAAAATTGCTTACTGACATTTAGATTTCTTTAAATTATACAACAGGACATTAGATGCAAGAGGAAGGTTGGGTGGCTGGGAGGCTACTTAGCAAAAGTGAATAGCCTTTGTTATTCTGTGTGGGTTTTCATTACTAACCAATGTGCTCGTCTGAAAAAAAGAGAGGAGCCCAATTTGATTTTGTAATGAGGGCAGAAAGATTGAGTGAACGCTGTGAAATAGTTTTTTGCTTCTTCACGAGATAATAATCAAGCAGTGTGAAATTCTGGATCATTAACTGGCAGGGGACTGGGAACTCAGAGGATTCCAGTGCCTGTCACCCTTCTGTTTCCTTCTACTTTGCCTGGCTTTAAAATTAAATGATGCTGGTGCTGTTAAGTAATGAATGTGGAGCTCCAAAAAAGTCCCTTCATTTATCTGTGTCTAACGTGACCTTTGAGAATGCTTGTTCAAACTAGTAACTAGTAACTTATAAATGAAAAAAGAAACCAATTCTTCTCTTGCTGTTTTATGGCCTTATACAGTCTTAAGTTACTGGAAATATCCTTTTATGGTTTGCAAAGAGTATCAGTCTAGCTATGTTCTGCTAAGAACTTAGATTCGGCATTTATCTGTACAATTACAAATGTTTACAGGGCTTCAGAAAAGATGACTCATCAGTTACATCAGATTAGATGTTTAACTGTGATTGAGGGGTCACATAATGTTTGGAGCACGATTTGTTCAAATGTCTTCTCCATCCTTTCAGAGAAGTTCCCCCGCTCCCCAAACTTTTATAAAGGTAACCAGGTATTCATTAAACAGAGATATTAGATTAACTGAGAAACCCAAGTAGCCTAACATATACGTTGACCATCTGCCATTGAAAACAGAGGGGAAAATGTTGACTCTTGACTGTTTTTGTGTCAATTGAGATTATCACTGGAAAAATACACATCATTCAAATATTCTTGCATACAATTCAAAATGCTGGAGTGTATGCATGGCTCGTCCCCATGTGCTCATGGTACACACCATTCTTTTTCAGCTGACTGAAGAAAATAAGAATTGCATTGTTGGATTGGTACTGTCTAGTCCTGTATTTTTCTAACAACGGCCCTTCAGATGTTTTTATGAAGCTTATAAGTAAATTAATTACTAATTTATCCCCCAAATAATCATGGAAATATTCTATTCCAGCTTTCCCCAGCTGTTTGCATAATTGCCTTTTTATAGAGAAGAATGCATAGCCACAAGTTCAAGATAGTCCGCCTACCACTCCTGATTTTTTGGCAAAGAAGGATTTTTCATTACAGCTTTTCCTTCATAGTTTTTACGCATAACTGCACATGAATTGTTGCTCAGGTTTGTCTATAACTATAAATTCTGCAGTACAATGAGATTGATATGTCAGAGTTCCAGTTCATAACTTTGATTTAATTCTGAATTGTCAGAAGAATAATCATAAGATCAGTGTCAAGCTTGATTGCACACAAATAGTTTATTCAGGCTCTGTTGTGTTTAGTAACATCTTTCAAACACTTTCTGTTAACTCAGAAGCACAAGGAAGACAAAACATTATGTACATGCTTACAAAACACTGCACTTCTAAGAAACCTGTTTCTGAGATACAATCAGTGTGAGGATCAGGGTTTTGTTTTTTTCAAACTAAATAAGAACTGATTTATATATCTGCTTACTTTGCCTGTTCCAGTTTTATTTTCCATAAGCGAACTCTAATTTCATTTGAACAGAAGGGTGTCTTTTTTGTTTGTTCCAGTGCTATTCCTGAAACTGCTTTTCCCTGGGCAAAAAAGAAAATCAAGCACTGATGTCTATTGACATGTAATTATCTCCTAAAGCAATAACTGGATTTATACAACAAAGCACTGAGCATAAGAGCCCTGTCCTCCACACGCTTTGCTAACGAAGTATTAATAAATTACTTTGTGAAAAAAATAGATTGTTATGTTAACAGGACTGGATGATCTTTCCAGGCAGACATTTTTGTTTTCTCAGTTCTTATTTTAAGAACTGGTATTTTCTCTGATTTGCATGCTAATAAACATCTTTCCCTCTTGGAACATTTTACATGAGTATTATAAATTGATTTTTTTTTTTAGCTTAATCTCCGTTCAGATCAGTTCTTTCAATTCTGAGCTGTATAGGTAGTTCTCAACTTACGACAACTGGGACCAGAATTTCTGTTGTTAAGCCAGGCAGTTGTTAAGTGAGTTGCACCTGATTTCACAACTTTTTTTGTCACAGTTGTTGAGTGAATCACGGCAGTTGTTAAGGGAATCTGCCTTTCGCCATTAACTTTGCTTTGTCAGAAGCTTGGCTGGGAAAGTCACAGATGATGATCACATGACCCCGGAAAGCTGCAATTGTCGTGCCAGTTGTCAGTTGCACAAATTTTGATTATGTGTCATGGGAGGCTGCGATGAATGTGTGACAAATGGAGGTATGCCACTTCTTTTGTGTGCTGTTGTAACTTTGAATAGTCGCTAAATGAATGATTGTAACTTAAAGACTACCTATATTTGATTTACTAGGTAAGACATTGTGCAGAAGCCCTGTCCAGAAGACAAAGTTTTGTTGAGAACAAAGTAAGTTAGAATGCCAGAAAAGGAAGCAGACTCATTCCACCATGACCAGTTTGGAAGAAATGAAGGCCATAACTCTGTATTCAGGCTTTCCTGTGCTTTTCAACACAGAAATCTTCCTTACAGCCTCCAAGTGGGGATAGACCAAACTCGATCCCATCATGTGATGTATCATGATGTTTTTTGCCTTTGCAGAGCCCGCGCATGACACATCTGGCCTACAAGCCACCAGTTTGACACCCCTGTGATAGACAATCAGTTGTTCTGCTTTTGTTTTTTTCCCTTATTTTTCCCTTCCAAATGAGCCTCCCTTGGCCTTGTGAAAATGGAAGGATACACAATGATACCAATTCATAACTATCAGGCTTCATGGAAGCTTGAAGCTTCGTTCATAATTGACCCCACATTCAGTAATTGGCGAATTGTTATTGCAGTAGTCATACCCACACAGGAGAACAATATCTACAGATAGAAATCCATGGATATGTGAATGTGTCGTGCTCAGGGTTTAACTCAGAGTTTAAATCCTAAGTCTTTTTCTTTATCTTTTGTGAAAATGGATTTTTGGCTGCTAATTTACCACACTGGAATGCAGAAGAACTCCATGCTTACATAATGGTCTCCTTCGGTCTTTCCCTCCAACCTTGCTAACCTTGGCCCTCATAACATTGTGAAGCCTTAAATTGTGTGTTTTAATCAAGGTTTTAACAAAACTGTATTTTAATGCAGCTTCATGAAGCAAGAGGCCGGGTTCAATATTAGAGCTTCCATGTTACATGAATTGATCACTGTGGGAACCTTGGAAGGGAAAGAAAATAGCCTGTCTCCACACTGTAGACAATGGAAGGGGGGCTTTTCTCCCTCTCAAAGATAGGCACTCTAATGATTGGAAGTCAGGACAGCTCTATGAGGCAAAATGGAGGCTGTTCACATATCTTTTCTACCTATCTCATGGAATTCCTGCTTATTTGAGTGTATGAGCTTAATTTGAATGTTCACCCTTTATTTTCCTTAAAAAAGGTATTAAATCCTTGAGAGATTACAAGAAAAATATATTTCTCTGCCCCATAATTGTAGAATGTGCTTCATCAGTGTTTAATTGGACTTTAAAATCATTTATTGTCTTAACAGAGTGAGTACAGGTAGACCTGGACTTACAACAGTTCGTTTAGTGACCATTCAAAGTTATCACGGCACTGAAAAATGGGATCTAATGACAGTTTTTCACAATTACGACCTCTATATCATCCGCATAATCATATGATCAAAATTCAGATGCTTGGCAACTGGTTCATATTTATGACCGTTGCTGTGTCCCAAAGCAATATGATCACCTTTTGAGACCTTCTGACAAGCAAAGTCAGTGGGGAAGCCAGATTCACTTAACAACTGCGTTATGGCACAGGAGATAAAATCCTTGCGTGTCCAATCACATTTGGCCAATTAAGAATTCTGTTTCTATTAACTTATCAACTGCATATTCACTTAACAACTGTGGCAAGAAAGGTCATAAAATGAGGCAAAATTCACTTAACAAATGTCTCACTTAACAAAATTTTGGGTTCAATTGTGGTTGTAAGTTGAGGACTACTTGTAGTGTGCTGATTCATGGAATTTTATAAAAAGGACATTTATTCATTGGTTTGTTTATTTGTCACATATCTACACCGCCTATATCCACACTCACCTATGTTTCTCTAAGTAATTTCTATAAGGTCAAATTAGCCAGGTGCACTAAATAAGCACTAGTGAGGTACAGAATAAAGATCTGTAAAAACCATATTGGAGTATTAGCATAGGATTTTGCATCAGTTCACCCAGTGGTGGTATGCTACCGGTTGAGCCGAACTGGTAGTAAAAAAAAGCCTCTCAACGATCAGCTGAGAGGAGAAAAAAAATCAGCTGAGAGGAGAAAGAAGAGAAAAGCGCAGGATTGGTCCACCCACTCCTGCTCTTTCCCCTTCTTTATCCTCTCAGCTATTGGTGCTGCAGGCGTCAGCTGGTGTGGGGAAAATTGCGCGCGTTAGGCAAAGCACACTCAGCAAGCCATGCCCCCAAACTGGTAGTAAAACAATTTGAATCCCTCCACCGAGTTCATTTTCCCCTCCCTGGAGAATTTCTAATCCAAAAACAATTGATTTGGAATGCCAGAATGGACCTTAGGGGAATTGTGTAATAGAAGAAAAGTATTTGAATCTTCTTTTATTTCTGTGGACATCATGCAGGCAGCAGCTGCCAGTGAATTTTGTCCAGAGCTGTCTTTGCATCTGTGGACATTTGGGTTACTGCCAATTTCCTCGGACCAAAAGAAAAAAAAAAAAGAAAAAAAACCCACCCACTTACAATTAGATGTTTTTAGAAAAATAGAGCATTATCAATATAAGCCAGTCCTCTGAAATCCTTAAAGTTAAATGCACCCACATTTAAGACCTAAAGAACTGCATGTGATAGATGGTAGGTCTATGCTGTAGCTTAAACGAATGTTGAAAATGCTCATAACTAAGGATGAATAATTTGATTTTCGTTTCAGATTGCATCTGTCTCTTTATGGCCTGCTAATATTAATTTTAAAAAATCTCCAAAGTAAGGATTTAACTGGAATTCAAAATAGGAAGTTATAATAAACATAATGAAAAATACTAAGGTAAAAAAATGTCAGGCTTTCCTGAAAGACCAGTGGCCAGTTTAGGGCAGGATGGATCTAGAAATGTTAGAAGCATTCCTGCCGCCATTTGTCATTTGTTCAATAGCCAACATATAAAGCATGACCTCTAACTGTAATCTAGGCAAACACGACAATTTCTAGGGTCCATGCTTGCAGTTATGTGAGCTTTCAGTCTAAGTGTCAAAGGCAGGCAAACAACACAGAAAGACTTATTACTTGTAGTTTTCCATTTATGCTCACTTGCCAAGAGGAAACATTCTTGATTATTTATTAAAACAATTTATTGCAAATAACATGAATACTCTCTTGTTATAAATATATTATATGTGGTATGTAAATAAGAGTTTTGTTAATATAGTAACTATATAATTGGAACGTGTGAACAAAAATCTAAAAATCAACAATTTTCTGTATATTTCACATTTCTGAACCACCCAACTCTCTTGAAGGATTCTGGGTGGTGTACAATAAAACATCAAAATATAAAACAGTATATAAAAATTAAAATGTCAGAGTTATATTTTCATTTTATGTACAATGGCTCTCCATCAGAGTGGGAAGTATGTTTGTCCTGTTTGTATATTTTCAGAATAGTCTGAGATCCCACATATGGATTCCTGGACATATTCTTTGGCACTGAGAAGATAAAATGAATGGGCCCTAATTTCCTGCTGTATTGGTAGTGTTAGCAACTTAACAGTTGAATTACTTATTAATGTAGATTAGTTTGGGATGATACTGAAATATAGCAACTGAAATGCCTTGTAGCACTCTCTCTCTCTCTCTCTCTCTCTCTCTGTGTGTGTATGTATGAGAGAGGGGGAGGAGGGAGGGAGGGGGAGAGAGAACATATACCCTGTATGTTTTTGTTTCTTTATATTTTTCTATATTTAAAAAAAATGTGTCCTTTTTTTAAATTGCAGGTCCCAGTTACATTTCAAACTGAAGAGCCAGGCCCGCCTATCTGAAATGTGGACTGCTTCTTGCTTGGAAGAGGTCTGTGAGAGCAGCACTAATGCTGACCGATCTTTTGTTTTGGGATGGCCCACAACCAACTGTGTTGCTAGTTTCAGGTACAAGAGATTCTTTTAATTGATTTCTCTATCGTTGCATATATCCAGGGGTGATTAAAGACACTGAGCTTGTCAGCTGAAGAGCTGACAGCTCAGGTTCAAGACCCAAGTTAATGCACAATGGGGCGAGCTTCCATTCCTTACCCCAGCTCCTGCCCACTTAGCAGTTCAAAAGCGTACAAATGCGAGTAGATTAATAGGTACCACCTAGGTGGGAAGGTAACAGCATTCTGTGCACCCTCAGCGTATAGCCATGCTGGCCACATGACCACAGAAATTGTCTTCATACAACACTGGCTCCCTTGGCCAAGAAACAGAGATGAGCACCATGCCCTAGAGTCAGACATGTTTGACAGAGAAACCTTTACCTTTTGCCTATATCCAACTGAGTCACCGCTTAAGAGTCATCCTAGGTGTCAAAACTATATTCTGAAGCCATATTAATATTCAATGAGTTTAAAGAAAAGTGGATCCATACTCCTCATCTTACGAATGAAAATTTGGAATGAGGATCTGAGTTGGCATCAGGGCCTGGCTTAATGTTTAGCAGAATGTAGTTATGCTAATTCAAATTGAGGTATTTTATTTTGCCATATTCCCAGATTTGTAAAAGCTTCTTTATCTTCCCAGACTATTTGAGATAGATGGTTGGGAGAAGATAATTAGAGACACAACACTTGCAGCAGAAGAGACCCATGAAAATTAGAGCTTGTCATAGAAGCTTTTCAAAGGCCTGAAAACACAGTAGAACATCAAAAGTATGAGTGAAATTTTACAGCAACTTATGGATTGAAAAGAGGTGCTTTTGAGGGGTATTCTGATTTCTTAACGTTTAGGATTTTAACAACTAAGTCATGGAAATAAATTGGTAGTCAAGCAAAGAGCTTTACATATGACTGTATCAGTACCCAGTGATCTTGGGCCAATCAATCTTTTTCAGCCCTGGGAATGAGGCAATGGCAAGCCACATCTGAAAAATCTTGCCAAAAAAACTTCAAGGACTTGTTCAGGCAATTTCCAAGAATTGGATACAAATGAAAAAAGAGAAGTCCCTAAAAAAAGATTCTGTGTGACCTACTGTACATCTACAGTATCTCTTTCCCCCTGAAATCTACAATCTATTTACACTAAGAGGTTTCACAGTTTGATTTAGTTCAGTTTATTTCATAGTTTGGGAAAATACATAATGATTTACAATGATGTGTTTGTTGTTTGATATTCCATATCAATGAAGGAATATGTTGTAATGGATATTGTTGCTTGAGTCTCATGTTGACTTTGAAATAACCCAACTTTAAATGTTGGAGTCTCCATCAAAAGGAAATTCTAAATATGGCATAACCAATGCAGAATATAGCAATTAACCATAGAAATTAATTACATTCTCCAAAATATCCACTATATACGTTGGGGTCTGGGGATCAATTAAAAATAAATACAGATTTTAAAATTAAACTAGGCAATGTGATTAAAGTTCTTCTACAGTGTATGTTCCACTCACAAAGCACTTTTTATGAGCTGTAGTGGCATTTCAGTAGCAAAACGTGTTTCTGTTCTGGATGGAAACCTAAAGAAGGACTTTTTATATAAATAAAATAGCAGTCTGGGTTTACTGTTATTTTTTTTCCCTTTTCATTTTCAAAGAAAATTGGCCTGTTGGCTCCCTGCTTAGCAGATTTGCATATTTTACTTTGGTAGTTTATTTGCTACTCTATTCACCTATTCTGAACTGTTATCTAAGTTGGCTTATACTGTAAAGAGATTCCATTTGGAATTGATTTGCTAAAGTTTAAAAATGTGTTCTTAATTATTTCAGTTCCGTGGAGCAAAAAGAGAAGTGGTTCACTTCCCTTCAAAGGTACTTGGCTTTTTCTGTATTCATATTAGGAAGTCATTGCTAAGTTAGCCAGGTGCAAAAATTTGTATTTGAAAAGGTTCAAGCAGAAAGTATCCTGATTGTAATTTGAAACAGCTGCTTTTAACTTACTGGAAATATTCTGACACTGTCTAACATTCTAGTCCGGAACACTTCCAGCAAGATCAGAGCTAACCTGTTTGAATTCAAAACTGTTGTTGCAAAATCTTAGAAAAGATCTAATTTAGATCAAACTTTAGACAGTTTCCATTTTAGTGAATGTAGTGCAGAGGTATTCAGCTTTTTTTTTTTTAGTTAGTGGGCATATTTGAAAATTTGAGAATATAGGAAGTTGCTGAACAGTTTTCAAAATTTAGGTAGAATATAGTTATATAGAAGTGAAATAACATAATGGTTCTTGTTACCAACTCTGTACTACCATAGCTTACTTTCTTTTTCCAGGCAAGTAAGCATATTTCTTTTAAAAAATAAAACTAAAAACAGTTTAGACATTCTTTCTTTCATTTTTCTTATTTTGAAAGAAAATTTAGAGAGTTTATTCTTAGAAATGCTCATTCCTTGAAATGAAGTTGATGCTTGAGGATAGTGCTTTGCTTTGTACGATGTCAGCTTCTATATTTTTGAAAAATATAAAAAATCAGTTGAGGAAAAATGTCTGAGAAATGTGTCTGTGAATACATTGCGGTCCTTAAGTTTAGTCTAAATGAGATTATTTTATGGGCTTCAGAAATGCAATCATAAAGCCAAGTGAGAAAGACAGAGAGATGAATAGAGTGACTGAATTAGACTGAATCCTTACTGAATACTGTTTTGTTACATAGCATGAAAAAATTATCTATTTAAAGGAAATAATATTTTTAAGGAAATATGTTTATAGCTATTATTGCATGCATTATCACTTCTGTTTGGTGAATTTACTTATAAAGGCTAATTTCGATTTTTGCTTGCTTCGACAGTCGAATCAAAGAAGAGAAAGCAAAAGACTATCCCAAGAGTATTCCGTTGAAGATTCTTGCAAAGGATATTGGAAATTGTGTATATGTAAGTGTTTCTGATTCCCAGTTTGGATGAGGAGTATGTCCAATGCAAATGTTTAGTAAAGAAACAGACGATGCCCTTTTGAGTTGTACACAGAGTTCACAATCTTCTCTATTTGTTCGGCTACTCTGCCTGGTTTGTCAAATTTTTGGTTTACTACTAGTACAGTGGCTAATAGTCAGTGCTAGCATTCTTTCCTAATCAAGGGATATGTGTGTTTGAGACTCATAGAACCAAGATTGGCTAAATGCTTGGGAGTTCCATCTGTCCATCATGAATACATAAGAGTTACATGGCATTGCAAATCTTTAGTAAAGTTTAAACAGCAGTGCTTTGTTAATTTAATGTCTGTGGAGATTCTCAGTCATCCAGGTCATGGTTGTCCCAAAGACTGGACTTCCTGGTTTTTCTTTGAAGACATTTCACTTCTCTTCCAAGAAGCTTCTTCAGCTCTGACTGGATTGGATGATGGGGAGTGGAAGGATTTATACTCCTTACAAACAGCTGATCCTTTGCATTCTTTTAGAGAGTTATTTAGGCCACCTGTGTCATTAGGATCACCCGAGTAGTGCAAATGGGTGTGGAGCCTTCCTGGAACTGCTGAAAGGACAAAGTTGTAGACTGGAGATGGATGATGTCATATCCCTCCCCCTCTATTGAAAGAGGGCTGTTATAAAAACCAGGAAGTCTAGTTGCCTCTTGAAAAAGCACCTCTGGGACAATGCACTGTTAAACACAACAGTTCAGAACAGTGCAAAACAGATGCATATTTCTCTCCAGGACTGATCATTCTTAAAAATGCAATATAATAATACCAGAAATACTAGGGAGGGGGGTGGCGTTTAAAAATATGTTTGGTTTGTGGATTGCTTTTTCCCTCCCCCCATCTAGAACAGCTGGACATCCCAGGGGATCAGCTTCATTTTATCCGCAAATTGGGGTTAAGTGTGGGGGGAGGTGACATAAGCAACCCAAATTACTTTTATCACATTCTTATCAAAGGCAAGCTGTATGCAAATCTGCTGACTTACTCCCGGGTGCCGGATATCACTACTTTGCAGAAATGTTAGCTTTGTTTTGTTCATGTCATAATTATTCAGGTGCATCCTGGACCAAAAATAAACTGGGTTTCATACTGCTTCAGTTTACCTGCATAGCACTGTACTGTATAATTTTCTGTGTCTCTGTGGCGGAAGGCTATTTTGAGCAGCTGGTGAAAAGGAAATTCGCATAGATTTTGGAATTGGGAGTTTTGTGGACTGGTTTTCAACTTAATTGTGAAATGTTTTAATATGTATGTTGATTTAAAAGAAGAGATCTTTCTCCCCAAAAAGAATGTTTCTGCCTTAAATAGCCCTCTTAAGAGCTCCTGGTTAAGATTTTTGCACTCGTTGGAGATTCTTTCTGAGAGGGATTGATATTATGGATCATGGCATTTGAAGAAGTATTCCAGACTCCTGTTGGCTGTGATTACAAGATTATATTTAATAAATCTAGAAAGAAGACACACCCACCAACTTAGAGGAGTTCAGAGTCACATTTTAATTAACTAGAGCTTCTTGTGTCATACAAACTAGGAATGAGGCTTAATATTGTGGCTAAAGCCTGGAATAATATTAATTTAAAAAAAATAATAAAACTTGTGCTTACCTCATTTTGTCATAGTAGACAGTACAAAAACATTTACTTAAGGAAAGGTAAAAAGAAAAACTTTAATGTTCCTTATTTTTTCTGTAAAGAGAGTCTACCAGCCTTAAACCCACTTTTGCTTATGTACTTTGGGCTGAAATTCAATATAGCATGAAGTGCAACTACAGGGAATGTGTAAAATAAATCCCTTATTATTTAAAATCTCAAAATAAGAATATTTTTTAAAAAAACTTTGCCAAGATCTAGTTCTAGTTTACATGCAGTTAGAGCAGAGGTGTCAAACTCGATTTCATTGAGGGCCGCATCAGGGTTGTGTTTGACCTCGGGGGGGGGGCGGAGTGGGCATGGCCATGGTGGGCATGGCAAGCTTGATGTCACTCGTGTCAGGGGCACCTGTGGTGGCCCGAGCGCTATGTCAGCAAAAAACGGGTTCCCAAGCTCCGTTTTTGGCTGTGACAGCCTTCTGGAACCCTCTGCCAGCAAAAATGGAGCTTGGGGGTGTGTGTGCATGCTCCGTTTTGGCTGGCAGAGGCACCGTGGGCTGATCTTTCACTGTTTTCAGAGTGGTCCAGCAGGCCAGATCTAAACACCCCGTAGGCTGATCTGGCCCCCAGACCTTGAGTTTGACATCCCTGAGTTAGAGCATCTGGTTTTGGTTTTCATCCTTTGAGCTTACATATAGTTGTCATACCCAAATTCTGACTGCTATTTTCAGCTGCTTTTCTTTTGAGCAATCATACAGGTTCTAATGTTTCTCTTTCTTCTTCACAGTCAAAAACCTTAACCATTACTAACCTGGACACAGCAAATGATGTGATCCTTTTGGCTCTCCAGCAGCTTGGAATTAATGTGAGATTGCTTGTTTTTTATTTGTTTGTTTATTTATGTGGGCAAATAATGACACTGTTTGCAGTGTTATAAAGTAATCCTGATGCCTGAAAAACATCATTTTGCATTATACAACTTTGGCCATCTTGAAAAATAATTACAGGGATAAAGAAAGTACTTCATTCAGAGGAGGAAATATATTGTTTGAATTCAAAATTTCCCCTCCTCTGTTAAGCGGAAAATATAAACCAACTTTCCTTAAAAGTATTAATAGATAATATAGTAGAAGGTCAATTCCTTCAATTAGCATCTCTGTGTTTTGCTTTATTTGATCCAAAACTATTTCTTGTCTATTACACTTTGGGAAGTACCATATTTTTTGCAGTATAAGATACACCTGACCATAAGACACACCTAGGTTTAGAGGAGAAATACGGGCAATGACAAAGACAGAAGCAGAAGAGGCGGAGTTCAGCACTATAAAATGACCCTGCCGCTGTGGCCCATATTTTTTGCTCCATAAGATGCACAGACATTTCCACCCACTTTTGGGGAACAATAAGTGCATCTTATGGAACGAAAAATACAGTATTTGACTGGCTGGCCGCTGCTTATTAACATTTCTCAAACTCTCTTAAGTCAGGAAGTTCCCCGCATAACCACAGACAAATTTGAAAGTATAGCTCAGGTTCCTAGACACCTAATTTGTATTTCTGAAATCTTGAAAAAGTGGATTAACCAGCAGGCATCAACCAGTCCAGCTGGTACTTTTAAAATACAGCAGAGGCTCTGGTCACAACCATAATTCATTCCATAACCTTCTTTGTCTTCAGGAATTTCTGGGTCGGGGTCATATTTGATCGTCACTCGAGTATGTGTTCGTGACCAGATTCAAAAATTTTGTGATTTTTTTGGTCAGAACCTGATTTGGTTGGGGTCAGAAGCATTTGTGACCAGAGGTTCTACTGTAGCCCCTCCAAAATAATGGAAAGTTCAGAGTTGGGCTGTCTCCTACCTGTTGAAGATATGGGCTGTTTGATCCCCAACTGATTGCTGCCTTCTAGCCAGTAGCATCCATGGGAAGGCTAAAAAAGACATGTGAGATTACAGCATTGCAATTGAAGGCTTTGACTGCAGTACTATGAGTGTCGCATCTCTTTTGATATTCTCTCACCCCCCATTTTCAACAGTATGCAACACAACACTTTCAGATAGCTGCATGAAATTCCAATAATGCTTCTATTTTAGGAACACCCGCCCCAAAATTACTAGGAATTCCCCATTTCAAACAAGCAATTTTTCAAAGGACATTTTTATGAATAGAATAGAATAGAATAGAATAGAATAGAATAGAATACTTTATTGGCCAAGTGTGATTGGACACACAAGGAATTTGACTTTGGTGCATATGCTCTCAGGGTACATAAGAAAAAATAAAATACATTCGTCAAGAATCATAAGATACAACATTTAGTGATAGTCATAGTTTACTAATAAGCAATCAAATCATACTAGGAAACAAATAAAACAATATAAATTGTAAAGATACAAGCAACACGGTCATAGTCATAAGTGGGAAGAGATAGGGCACTAGGAAGTGTTATTATAGTCTAGTAGTAGAGGAATAATAGTAATACAGTCTTATAGTAAATAAGTTGACAGTGTTGTGGGAATTAGTTGTTTAGCAGAGTGATGGCATTCAGGAAAAAAACAATTTAAACAAGCTGGAATCGATATCAACCATCCAGTGCCAAAAATGCCTAAACAGTGTAGCTTGTATCACTTAAGATCTTGGAATGCTATGGCAAGCTAAGAAACAGTGGATTTTTCTTATATGAGAAAAAAAAAGACTCCAGATATCTTTGGAGATTCTTAATCATCCTGGTCACAGTTGTCCCAGAGGTGCTTTTTCTAAAAGGCAACTGGATTTTCTTGTTCATTTGTTTTTTTATTTGAAAATATTTTACTTCTCATCCAAGAAGCTGAAAAATTGAACTGAAGAAGCTTCTTGGATGAGAACCGAAACATTAAAAAAAAAAAACCCACCAAAAAAGTCAATTTGCCTTTTGGGAAAAGCATCTTTAGGACAATGGTTAATTAGCAATAAAGGAGAATATTTGTAGCTCAGGGTTAAAATTAGGGTGCTTGGTTGTTTTCTTGCAGATGTTTCATTACCCCAAGTAGGTAACATGGTGCTAGTAACACCAGTTCTGATATTTGGGTACTGAAACATCTGCAAGAAAACAAGCACCCAGGACCTCTCAATGGGTAGTTAGCCATCCTGGGGGAAGTGGGGAACGGGGTGGAGGGGGGAGACAGGGATGAAACAGAGTTTTGTGATCCAATTAGGCCAGGCCTCCCATTGACAGTTAGTCTGTTGGTGCATTGCTCCAAATGTGAGACTGGCTGAAAACTTTCCCATTGTGAGCACCAGACACTCCGATCCATATTCTCATCGGCTGTTTCCTGGAAAGATGAAGCAGAAGTGTCCCCCTCCTTATCTTCCACTTCTATTCTGTTTTTGCCCAGGAGAAAAATGGGACACATTCAAAAGGAGATTGTTTAATTTTCTGTCCACAATCACTCATATTCTGATCAAAAACTAGAAGGGTAATCCAGTTGAACGATACAGATCAGGAGTTTAACTTGGAACCAGTTTGGAATAGAATAGTATAGAAACACCAGTAGTGAAAATAATTTAAACTTTGCTGGGTTTTAGCACAGGGTATATTCTAGGAGTTTGTTTGTTTGGATTTTAGTGTAGCTTTGTATTCTTTTGTAGTTCCTGCTCTCTGGTGGCTTAGTGAATCCGCAATGCAGCCCCATATTCGCTCTCTTTTGTGTTGTTCAGTTTTGGCTTTGTGAACGTACTGTTTTTAGAAAAGAGCTTTCTGACGTGTTCCAGCTTATTGGAAATATTTGCAAAGGAGAGCTGGAAGCATGAAATCAATTGGAATGGAAACAGATTTCAAGATGGAAGAAGTACTATGTTTTTCTCTCCTTTCTCCTTTCATTTCCTTCCTTTTCAGTTCACAGTCATGCCATGTCACCACAGTCTGGGGAGTTCCATATGTGGAAACAGCAGCTGCAGTCGAGCCCTCTCCACAGCACTTAGATTGCATACAATTGTTACGCCTGGTCAAAATACAGTCTTTAGTGTCTTTACCCAAATGTGTAGGGAGCCTGTCAAAAGCTCTATCTGGGCACATATTGCAACAGATGTGCCAATAGTGTAAATATTTAAGTGTTCTGCTATTTGATTTCTGTTAAAAGTCAGTGACCTCTGCTGTAGTCTAGAACAGCTGTGTTAAGGACACATGTTTAATTTATAATGTTAAATAAATCAGCTTTCTGTTCATTCTAACAGATGTAGGATTGTATTTTTAAAGGGTTCTGAGAAGGATTATCAGCTGTGGGTTAATTCTGGGAAAGAAGACGCCCCTTATCCTCTTATTGGTAAGTATATGGAAAGCAAATACTAATGGTGAAAAATTTGCTTTGTGTTATATTCCTTCAAAGAATCAATAACAGCTAAAAAAAATATCAGCATACAGGTAGTCCTTAACTTACATCCACAATTGCGACTGGAATGTCCATTGCTAAGCAAGGCAGTCATGCCCGATTTAACAGCCCTTTTATTGCTACAGTTGTTAAGTGAATCATGCAGTTGTTTAGTGAATTCGGCTTCCTCCAATGACTCTACTTGTTCAAAGCTGGATGGGAAGATTGCAAATGGCAATCCCATGACCTCGGAGCACTGTTGCCTTCATAAACATATGCTGGTAGCCAAGTGGCCAAAGTTTGATCACATGGCCATTTGGATGTTGCAACAGCCATAAACGTAAGGACTGGTTGCAAGTCATTTTTTTCAGAACTGTTTTAATTTCAAACTCTAATGAAACAGATGGTTATAGGTTGAGAACTTATAGAAAAGTAGCAATAGTGCAAAGACTTATATACCGCTTCACAGAGCTTTATAGCCCTCTCTAAGCGGTTTACAGAGTCGGCATATTGCCCCCAACAATCTGGGTCCTCATTTTACCCACCTTGGCAGGATGGAAGGCTGAGTCAACTTTGAGCTTGGTGAGATTCGAATTGCAAACAGATTAAAATAGCAGATTAAAATAGATTAAATTAAATTAAAACTCAAAACAAAATAGTATTAAACATTACTCGTGATTACTTTTTACTTTACATTACTTTTGTTATTCAAAGACAGCATAAATAAGGATGTTTTTCAAGTCACCTAGAACAGCGGCCCCCAACCTTTTGGGAAGAAAGGACCAGTTCCATCGAAAAAGTTTTTTCCGTTTTTTCCGTTGACTTGAAGGGGTGTGGTTTCATGTGCTGCCTGCATCCCGTTGATGGGGCTTCAACTTGTTTCTGGCATGCCGCAGCCAGGTGCCAGTCCACAGACCAGGATTGGGGACCCCTGATCTAGAAAATCTGTAGTGTGAGCATTGTATTTAGACAATCAGAATAAACATATTTTAAACGAATTAATAGACTGCAACAACAGTACAGAATTTCCTTCTGTTTTGGGGCCGCAGTTTCTGTAACCTCTGTTGGATTGATGGGAATTGGAACCTATTAATATTAATAGATTAATAGAATAAATTAATAGATTAATAGAATTCTTTATTGGCCAAGTGTGATTAGACACACAAGGAATTTGTCTTGGTGCAAATGCTCTTGGTGTACATAAAAGAAAATATACATTTGTCAAGAATCATAAGGCACAACACTTAATAATAGTCATAGGGTACAATAAGCAATCAAATCATACTAGGAAACAGTCCATATAAATCGTAAGGATACAAGCGACAAAGTTACAGTCATACAGTCACAAGTAGGAGGGGATGGGTGATAAGGAGTGATGAAAAGATTAATAATAATAGTAGTGCAGACTTTGTAAATAGTTGGACGGTGTTGAGGGAATTATTTGTTTAGCAGAGTGATGGCATTCGGGAAAAAACTGTCCTTGTGTCTAGTTGTTCTGGTGTGTAGTGCTCTATAGTGTTGTATATCAGACTCACCAGGAATTCAATTTCTTATTTGAAAAATCGATACAGGCTTCACTTTATTGCATGAAGCCATTATATGGTTAGGGTTTGGCTGTGCTGTATACATATCCAGTCACTGTGGTTTGTAAAATGTGATAAATGGCTTCAGATGTTGTGCAAATCAGCAACAACACCTTGGGACAAATCATGGTTTATGGTAGTACATTAAAAGAAAAGCAACATGGAGTTTTTCCATATGTGATTCTTATCTGCAATCGCTCTTGGCACCCTTACTGAAGATAAGATGACACGTTCTTGGCTGATTTTGTCAAATATGTTTTTCTTTAAAAGAGTGCCGCAAGTTCAGAAAACTTACGGTAACATCCCACTTTTGCTTCCTTTTTTATGTGTTGTGGTTTTGGCACATTGAGCTAGTTAAGTTGGGGTAAAGGAAAAGAGACTGTTGCAGAGTGTGGAAGTTTTATGATGACTTTGGTATGGTGTGGGTTTTTTTTTTAAAACCAGAAGCAATACAGATAATGATTGGGGTTATATCATTCTCTCAGGAAAATTATCAAGTGCCTTTAACATTTTCTTGGGAGCGTGTGTGAATAAGGGTATGTGACTGTGGCCAGTTGTAATTGTAGATCTAGATGTGACCTCAGACTACTGAGAACTGGATTTCTAATTCCAACCTGCAGAATGCCTTATTTTCTTATGCTCAAAAAGATAGGCCCAGCTTTCATAAACCACCTATTGAAAATATTCATTAAAATCCATTTAACTCCCTCATTACAAACTACAGATTGCTAGCAATCTGGCTATTTTTATAAGAAAAGGCTAGATCCCTCCTTCCATTTAGTTTTTTTTTCCTTTTCTTTTTTTTCCTTTGTCTTTTTTGCATACTTGTTCATAAGATTTTGACAGCCCTGTCAGAAGATGAGTTTAAAAAAGCTCTCCTCCTGTAAGAGGGGAGAACACAGTTTTCTCTTTCTGAAACCCACATTAAGGGCTAAAGCACGATGCAGTATCCTCTGATAGGATCCTGTGAACTTAAGGAAGCCAAGTCTTCTCCTCTCAACTCTGTTCTGATCAGCAGTGGGTGTTGCGCAGATGCAGATTGAAAGGCAAATTGTTGCTTTTGGGCTTTTTGTTCCTTGTCTGCCATTACTCCCACGGACAGACTAAATACATTTTAAAAACATTTTTAGCCTTTGCAGAGCTTCACTGAAGTACATTGGCATACAACAGATTATTCTAATATAAGACAAATATGGATTTGAATTTAGTGTTGAAATAGCTCTTTTTTCTTCAACATTATAAAGTTCCTTAGCATTGCCCATATTTGTTCTGATCTCAAAAAAAGTAATTGGGATTCGGATGTTGCAATACTTCTGAAGAGTCAGGCCAACTTAGAACACCAACAATGGCCAAGTATTGGAGCAGTCAAACCAAATCACGGCCACCCCTTCTTGCTACTTGGAAGTGGGCCACATATTCAGTGTGGCTATTAAAAAAATAAAACAGAACCAATCCCAATTTATTCAAAAAAGTAAGGAATCCCTGAGGATTTTACTCCGCTAGTTGTTGCCAATTATATGGGATGGTGCTCATCTCCATTTCAAGGCCATTGAGCCAGGGCTGCCTGAAGACATTTCCATGGTCCTGTGGTCAGCATGATTTCATGGAACGCTGCTACCTTCCCACAGAAGTGGTACCTATTTATCTACTCACATTTGCATTGTTTCAAACTGCTAGGTTGGCAGGAGCTGGGGCGACGACAGGAGCTCACTCCGTTGCATGGCACTCACGTCTTGAACCTGAGTTGTCAACTTTCCAGTCAACAAGCCCAGTTTCTTCACTGCGGAGCCACCGTGCTGCCCCAATTTATTAAACCATCTAAGATAATGACCGTCTCCAACTTTTGTATCTATGATTTTTCATATTGCAGTTCTGTTTGACATGTGCTGTGAACAGGTGACAGAACCTTTTCAACCATGCCTGACTTGAGAAGATATACAGGTCAAGCTTGATTAATATTTGAGTGGGAGAATTCCAAGCAGTGTTGGGCTGAATGCTCAGATGGGAAATAACAACACATCCTAAAAGAAATTCGTGACAAACCACACCTGTGCTCTTTCTATATAATTCCATAAATTGTATCCATGTAGCCCCCACCCCTCCTGGGAGTCAATTAGGAATTGAAAGAGATTCAAGTGGGACAAATAAAGCTGGATCTTTAGATGGTTATTTTAAAAAATGTCAGGAAAATACCCCCCCGCCCCCACACACACACAAAATTAAGCAGCTGGGAACTATAAAAATGCTATATTTTTTCAGTGAAATAAGATGCAAAATAGATGAGTGAAACTTCTGCTTGAAGTAACAAATCTGTTTTATTACTTAAAAATAAGGCCCCAAACCTCATTGCAATGGACAGAATCTTATTTAGTTATATTTTTTATGTTATCTGCAACTTGTACTTGCAGCTTTTAATTTTGTTTTGCAGTATGGCCTCTGGCTGTGAAAGGTTGCTGGTACTTAGAGGTGTAGAACATGATATCTCAGTAGATGTTTGGATGGTTTGAAAAAAATTTAACAAGGATTTTTAAAACACAGCTGTGTAATGATTATAACAGCATAATTTAGCAGCTTTCACATTAGCTTTTGAAATGAACAAAGTGTGTTTTAAACTCTTCTTTAAGAGCAAATGTATTACAAATATCCAAGAACAAGTCAAGATTCCGGGAACCAGGAGTGTAAACTAGGTTTAACTTCTGCATAGGAAGACTGTGGACTGAGATCAGTTCTGCTACTGAATACAGATTCTGTTTTCTGAATTGGAGTATACTGTTGCTCAGTATTTTAATTCAAAACACTTGTCCCTCAAATTGATGGTTCTTGGAAGTTCTGGTAAAAGATTAAAATTAGGCCAACTAATCTGAAGTTAACTTACTGCTGGCTGTATGTGAGAAATGAAATGATGTGTTTGGGCTTAGTTTTTGGGGAGGAAAATAAGGGAGGGGAATTCTATCTCTGCCTACCAGCATCCATCAGTATTCATCTGGCTAGCGTCCTATCAGTGTGAGAGAGACTTGAGAGCTGTTTGGAAACCGAAACAGTATTTACTGTGTGAGCAAGAAGGAGATAACAAAGAGCCTGGGCATGTTCTGTTCTAAAGATGGTTGCTTTTGTGAAACTAAAACTGAAACTGAAACTGAAACTCCTCTCCTCTGCTTGTGTTTTGTATTTGGAACAGATTTCTTTTCAGGTGGGGAGGGGGAGTAGAACTCTTTAGCATCAGAGCGTGTTAATAATAATATACAAAATACCAAAGCTCTGATGGTTATTTCGAAAAATCCTTTCTTAGTGAGCACCTAGAAGCCAAGAGGAACATACATGCCAAATTTCAAATTTGTAGGCTTTACACACACACACACACACACACACACACACACACACTTTTTTTCTTCTTAACTAGTTAAAAGGCTAATAAGTTGAATGCAGAGATAAAGTTCCCCATGCTGAAGTTTGACTCTGAAGAGATTTGATCTGCCTTCCTTTTCTACTAACCTTTTCCAATTGCCTGGTTCACCATAAAGACTCCTGAATCTTATGCTGAAAACAGTGAGACTTGCTGTGAATGCCAGAGTAGCAAAAGTTGGCTTCCTTAAGCAGTCTAAATCCTTCCATTATAAGGATACACACTAACCTATCCTACACTGTGGGATAAACTGCTTATCAAGGAAAACTGGAGGAGAGGAAAAGAATAACATGTTTTCATATGGTATCCAGATGTCGTTTTGCAAGCCTCGGGCTGCAAACTCAGAAATCTCTGTTATTTCTGTTCATTTGAGATATACAAAAGCCTAGGCTTTCAATGCCCAGTGGTGACTTGACTGACACATAATGCTGTGCATTTGCCCTGTGTAGGAGAAATAATAATGGCTGTTCTAAGAAATAATAGGGGATATACTTTAAAGTCACTGGATATGTCAGTCCTTCATTTTGGTTGGCCTGTGCCCACATATCTGGCACTGTCAATAAGTAAAGCACACCATAATTTTTTCCATTTTTAGTAGACAGAATTTGAAATTGGGCTAAGAAAGTGGGAGAAGTACAGGATCTGAAAAATCCTGAGTGCCAGATAATTGAACATAAAGATAACATAGTGTAAATGTCTGTGGAGATTCTCAGTCACCAAGGTCGTGGTTGTTCCAAAGGTGTTTTTTTCAAAGGCAACTGAACTTCCTTTGTTTTGCTTGAAGACATTTCGCTTCTCATCCAAGAAGCTGACCTGAAGAAGAACTCCAGAACTGAAGACGTTTCTTGGATGAGAAGCAAAACGTCTTCAAGCAAAACAAAGAAAGTTCAGTTGCCTTTTGAAAAAGCCCCTTTGGGATAACATAGTGTAAAATCAAGTGAGTATGATACATTTATTCTAGGGATTACTGTCTATTTTTAAAGAATAAACATTATTGTGGCATTCCGGTAGGTCTTGTTCTTCGGAATATTACTTGTTTTTCATATATGCAAATTAAAATCTCTTCTTCTTTTATGAGCAGGGCATGAATATCCTTTTGGAATTAAAATGAGCCACATCCGTGACACTTTGCCCCAGACCCAGGGATCAAAGGATGGGGATTGTCCTCTGGATCTTCAGGGAGCCTTCTTAATAGAACAGTTGCCCCGTGAGCTTCAGTGCCAGTTCATTCTCAAGCCAAGTCGCCTGGCCACTGGGCATCAGTTGAATGGTGAGTGTTCCCACTTACAAAAGGCTTCCTTCAGCAAATGTCCCCCAGCTCAACCAGTAGTGTTGTAGGTATATATAGCCCATCAGGTCATGCAGATGGCTTGTTGAGTTTATTAGTGGTTCCCAAGACAAGTGGATTCCAGTTGTTCTCTTGTAATTGTATATTGCAGGGGACAATAGGATGTCATAATATTATAGAATGGTACAGTACTAGAGAGTCTAAAACATGCTAAAACAGTGCCTGGTTTCTCCTCAGATGGAAGAAGGTATTGAGTGGGGCACCACAAGAATGGGTCCTCTAATATTTTCATTGACAGCTTGGGTCAATAGCTGGAAGAAATGCTTGTCAAATTTGCAGATGAAAGACAAAGTTCAGAACAATCTGAATAGAGAAATGGGCTTCAAGTTAATACCATTAAATTCAAGAAAGTCCTTAATTTAGAAAACATAAATCAAATGCACAACTATACATACCGTCTATACCCGTGATGGCAAACCTATGGCACACATGCTGGAAGTGGCACACAGAGCCATCACTGCAGGCACGCAAACTGTCGTCCCAGCTGAGTTCCACTGTGCATGCTCGCGCGCCTCCCGCCCACCAGGTGATTTTTGGGTATCTGCCGCGCATGGGTGGGTGGGGTGCCTGTGGGAGATGCGTGCGCATGCACAGGGGGGCGTGGGGAGAGGGTATGTGTGTGTCACACGTGCATTATATCACTTTTGGCATGTGATGAAAAAAAGGTTAGCCATCACTGGTCTATACCCTCATCTTAACACCTTAACCAGAAATAGTGTTGGCTTTCCACATCAGGAATAGTCTTCTCTTCTAAAATAAACAAAAAGCAAAACTTATTTTCTTCTTCCTGCCTTTCTTTAGAGTTAAGCCAAAAGCCGTTTAAAAGGAAAAGATCAATTATAAACTGGGCCTTCTGGCGAGAAACAGGTGCTCCCGTGGACCAGTTAGTGCCATCTCCAACATCTTCCAAATCAGGAAAGCTGTTCGGTCTTTCGCTCTCATCCATCTGTGAGAATGATAATCTGCCCAAACCTATCTTGGTAAGTCTCTTTTACATCCCGAGCAGATGATGGCAACTCTCTAGATAAAGATGTGCGCAAGTAGCTCTGGAACACATTTGGGCTGTTGAGAATATGTAACAGTCAATCTCTTCATTGAGAAAATACAAGTAGTCTACGACTTATGACCACAATTGAGCTCAAATTTCTGTTCCTAAATAAGACAGGTGTTAAATGAATTTTGCCATTAAGTTAGCAACATGGTTGTTAAGTGGATTTTGTTTCCCCATTGCTTAGCATAATGTTGTAAAAGGTCACACGACCCCAGGAGAGTGCAACTGTCATAAACGCGAGTCAGCTGTCAAGTGTTTGGATCTTGATCACATGATCATGGCGATGCTACAGTGGTCATAAAGTGTAAAAAATGGTCATAAGCCCCTTTTTTAGTGACTGGTAATGGTCACTAAATAAACTGTTTAAGTCGAGAACTTATTTGCCAATGTGGACATGACCAGTCATGAAACTTGACTTGGGAAATCTAGTTTGTAGATGGCAAATTTGATCCTTCAAATGCTCTGCCATCTCATGGAGGTCCCTAGGGGGTCCCTATGTATGGCTCAAAAGCATTCTGTGTGACATGCCAATCTTTAAAAAAAATAGCTGGGACAGAAAATATGATGAACATCAAGAAAAGTCCCTGTAGATACATTGGTACCCACAGGCAATAGATTGCTACCCCTGTTCTAGGCTGGGAATTAGAAGATTTTTGTACATTATGGCAGGAGAAGGAAAGGAACAGTCAATAGAGGACTGGAGCCTTGCTTAGTTCCCTCTTGGTGAAACAAATCAAATTGTAACTCAAATTGTAAATGGGCAGTTTTGTGTAATCATTTGTACTATTGCATCTCCTATCATAAGATTATAATGGAATAAATATTTTCTGATTTCTCACTCCATATTTTGTGTCCTGATTTCCAGGATGTTAGACTTCCTAGAGAAAAGCTGTGTTGTTGTTTTGGAGAGGGCGGAAAGCTTGGCATCAAAAATAGAAACAACAAACTTATTACCACATTAGGCTTTGTGGATCCCAGTTCATTTCATTAAAATATAAAGTAGTTGTCCACCAATCGATAAACGCACGGACATTGCTGTGATAGTGGAGCATGTAAGATACTTGGTACTTGTACCTAATATTTTAGACCATATGCTGTTAGCTATGAGGAGTACTATAATAAGACCGGCACACCATATCTATTACCTTAATAAGCAATCAATATTACTACATTCAGGCTTTCTGTTGAGATAGTGAAGGCTAAAGCATAAGCTGGCATGTATCCGCCAAAGATAATTTAAGAATTAGGAGCTTCTTCGAAGATTTCTCTTCCCTTTAGATCAACTTTGTTCCTTTTTCTTCTTCATGCTAAATGCAATTTCTGCATTATTTGGGTATCAGAGTTAATACAACTGTACATTTTCAAACTGTGGCTTCAAACCATAGTTGCAGAAGAAACATTTGCCATTTACCATACAAGTTTTGATGTACGCATAGATCTCCCAAAAATTTGCCATTTGGTGTTGCTTTGTACAAATTAGATAAATATTCATTGTGCTTATCTTCTCCTTAAGAGTACAGGAATTTGTGCATAAACCACAACTCCCACAGTTACTATATTTGAAAATGAGACACGCCTAAACATATGGTTTCTTCCATAATACCACATTTAAGTTTTTTTAAAAAACAATCTTGTAACTTATAACTCTGATAAGTTAAGTGTAACTAAAAATATGGTCACAAACTCTACTTTGGTTGTTGCACTGTAAAATTTGATCAGTATGAGGAATGATTTCAGATTAGCAAAGTCTCAAATACTTAAAAAAGAAAAGGGAATAGATACCTCAACAAAAATAGCTAAATATGAATGATAGAGATGATAGAAGAAAAAGACAGACTGACCATTTCAGAAGTCTCTTCAACATCCACCTAGGGCAGTGTTTTAACTACAGCAACTTATAAGATGGATAGGCTTCAACTCCCAGAATTCCCCCAGCCAGTGTGACCCAGTGTGTTTGAAGTGTTTGCACATCTGAGCTTCAAGAGTTTATCCAGAAGTCTATACTGCTTCCTAACTTCATTAATAGTAATTCAATTTGTTAAAAAAAAAATAGAGATAATTTGGAGATGGGAAAGCAATGAGCAAGCCATTAAGGGGAGGGGGGCGGATTTTCAGAAAAGATTACAAAATTATAAGAAAAGAGGGAATGTGAGGAATGAACTGAATATAACCCAGCCTTGATTTCATTTAACACAAAGTGGGACTGAGAAGAACTTGGACAGATTAAGTAGCCAGAGAAAAACCTGACTTCCCACCCCATCCCAACCATCTAATTAGAGAAGATAGGAATTCTTAAATCACATGGAAATCTCCCAACTCAGGAACAGGAAGTGGACAAACTTCCCCGAAGATTGAAGAAAGCTGAGTGAACAGTATGGAGAGATTGAAAAATGATGATGCATAGAGTTCCAGACCTGTTAAAGAACTGTCCTTATGTTCTGATGTTTCCTTTTGTCCTGAAGAGGAAGAAGAGGTGGGTGAAGGACAGTCAAAATATCGCAGAAATATAAGCTGGAGAATGGAATAGAATGTGTACTGGAATTAGGAGAGTCCATCTCCACAAGTTTATAAAGGAGCTACAGAGGATATCATGGAGAGAAACCTCAGGGCAAAGGAAGCATAGGTTAGAAACTTCTGAAAAATAAGATACAGGAAGTGCAATCGTATGCTGTTCCAGTGAAGAAAAACCTTTGAAAATTGTGAGTGCCTAGGGAATTTTTGACTGAGCTAAGAGCTGAAAGGGACATATACAGGAAATGGAAAATTGGTGTATGAGTGGATAGCCAATATTCGCAGATAGAAAGGCTGAAGTGCAGAAGGAAATTGGGATTGCAAGGGAAGCTGAAGAGTAACAAAATGTATTTTGGCTTTGTCAATAGTAATAAGGGGAAAAAAATGGAAGGAGAGAGCGCATTGCTAAAAGATAGTAACAGGTGACAATGAAAAGGCAGAGCTTCTTAACTCCTACCTTCTTTGGTATTGTCCTGAAAGAGGACGTTTTCTTAAATGAATTTAAGCAAGATTGACTGAGAACCTAAGAGACTTGAGGAACATCTGATCACCATGAATCAATTTAGTTTCCAAGACCAGACTGAATGGAAAGGAAAATTACAATTGGGAGTCACTTTCTGTGATCTTTGAGAAATCCTGGAAGAATGGTTTAATACCAAATGATTAGGGAAGGATAAATGTTCCTATCATCAAAAAGAGGTGGAGAAAGAGATAACTCCACTGAATACAACAGGGCAAATGACAGCATGCAACGTGGATACCAAAAAAACCTGATAACATCAAACGCAATCCTAACCAACTTGAAATGTAGTGTCAAGATCAAGATAAATCATATTTCCTTATGTGTGAAGGCCAAGGTTGTGGGTGCCTGGGCTAAGCTGGGAAAATAAGTGGGGTGAGAATGCAGAAGGAGACAATACCAATAAAAATAATAAAATATAATTTCATTTTTTTAAAAAAAGACTGGTGATTTCATAAGTGCTGCCAAACTTCTACTGATTATTCCATAATTGTGGAATTATGAGAGTGTTGCGGAGTTATAAGATCTTACCATCAGCCTCATGCTAATGTTTGGGGGGGTTGTAAAGAATTAATGAGCCTACTTATGTAAAAGGAAAAATCTGTTACATAAACTAGACTGCAATTTTCAACCTTTTTGTCATTTCTCTGATAAATAATATAATTTCAGAACCTTTTTCTCAAGAAATCTGATTTTTTAAAATTAATGTTCAGCTCGATTCAGCACTCAAAAGCCCTAATGTGAAGTCTATTACTCTGGTCTGATCCATATTCCTCCATGGAGGGACACAGGCAAAACTACAGTTGTGTTCTCACTGCAAACATAACAGTGATCTTGAATGTTTTCCCCCCAAATACCTCGATTGTTGAGTGTTCTGTTGAAGGCCAACTTGAGAAAGGCAGTTTGGGGAAAGCACACTGCCAAAACCTTCGGTATGTGAGTAGGCTAGTGAAGAGAAAACTGTTGTTGGTAGATGCTTTTTCAGAATACGGTATCTGTTAAGATCACTTGCCAATTTATGTTTCACGTATGGATTATATATTTCTTTTATAGGATATGCTTTGCTTTCTCTATCAAGAGGGACCTTTTACTCGCGGTATTTTCAGACGTTCAGCAAATGCAAAATCTTGCAGAGAGCTGAAAGAGAAGCTTGACTCGGGTGAAGATGTACACCTACTTTGCGAGTCCGTCTTTGTGATAGCCTCTGTGTTTAAGGTAGATGGGAATTTCTTTCACTCTGTGTAACAGTTTCTTGACCCCTGAAATTGCCTGTCTCTGGATATGAAGATTATGTTGTTCCTTTTTGAAAAATATTCTAGAACTCTGAAGATTAATTCAAGGAACTCATAGACAGCTCTGTTTTTCCCAACCCTACTACCTGAAATTGAGATGTAAGACAACATTAATAACAATAATTCGGAGACATAGCACATGCAACGTGTGTATTAGTCTAGTGCTGAGATGTTTCTGTAACTCATTGATCTTCCCAATGATAGAATCCTCCAAGTATTTTATTTGAAACTTCTCTTTGGAATTCAGTGAAAGTCTAGGCTCCATTCTGCATATAATTGATAGAACATGTAGACTCAAACTTTTATTAAAAATGTATATTTTGAAATGATTGTTCATGTGTATGTTTCTCTTCTCTTTCAACAAGGATTTCCTTCGTAACATCCCAGGAAGCATCTTCTCATCTGAGCTCTGTGATCAGTGGGTTTCCTTAATGGATGAAGGGAACCATGAACAGAAAATGAAACTCATCCACAGGTAACATTGCTTATGTAATTTCCTGTGTCAATTTTTCAGAAAATATCAAGAGACAGTAGTAGAAAGCCAAACTATAAAGTGTGTGTGTGTGTGTGTGTGTGTGTGTGTGTGCGCGCGCACACATGTGCACGCCAGAGGTGGTATTCAGCAGGTTCTGATCAGTTCTGGAGAACTGGTAGCAGAAATTTTAAACAGTTTGGAGAACCGGTGAATACCACCTCTGACTGGCCCCACCCCCATCTATTCTCTGCCTCCCGAGTCCCAGCTGATTGGCTGGGTCTTCTTTTGTTGCCCTGCACAGGAGAACAGAGCTGGAAAGCAGGTTAGTGGGATGGGGAGAGAATGGGATTTTGCAGTAACCTTCCGCCCAACAAGCCACACCCACCAAACCATACCACGCCCACTAAGCCACGCCCACAGAACCGGTCATACAAAAATTGAATCTCACTGCTGTGTGTGCACACATACATATTTTACAGTTTGTCTTCCTACCACTGTCCCTTGATATTTTCTGAAAAACTGACACAGGAAATAAATAAAATACATATACTGTATATGTAGAGAATTTTGAGTCAGTGAAGCCCTTTGTGTTTTATTTTGTGTTTCTAGTCTAATGGAACAGCTTCCAAGAGCCAATGTAATGCTGTTGCGTTACCTCTTCGGAGTATTACACAGCATACAAAAGCAATCTGAAGGTAACCAGATGACCGCATTCAATTTAGCCGTGTGCATTGCACCCAGCTTGCTCTGGTCTCCAGCTCCTGCAAATCCTGGAACTGAAGGAGAATTCACCAAGAAGGTAAGCAACAGGCCTTCCCAGGTTCTTTTATTGGAACCTCCTCTTCAGATATTCTAAGAAACCCGTAGAAAAGTACAACACCTTCTCAATTATTCTGGATCATGTCTAAAGAGGGGAAATGTGATAGGTATTGCCTTTTTTGAAAGAAGATTTGGGAGTTTGCAGATTTGTTCAGGAAATAGGCCAGCAGGTCTCAATTTTTGAGTAAATCTGGATCTCTTCCACTTTAGGAATCTCTGTACAGTACATAGTTAAAGGTAATATGGGATGTGGCTTCAAAATGACTCATGCTTTAAAGAGCTTATTTTTTTCTGTATTAAGCATCCAATCTGAATTGGTTCAAGGTCGTAGCCTTTCCATATTCATCTGCTTGAATATTTAAGCTTGCCTCAAGCAGGTGGCACTCTGTTTCCCCACAGAAATTAATATATAGTTGCTAATGGAAAAGGGGTGCGGTGGCTCAGTAGATTAAGATGCTGAGCTTGTCAATCAGAAAGGTCAGCAGTTTGGCAATTCTAATCCCTAGCACCGCGTAACGGAGCGAGCTTCTTTTACTTGTCCCAGCTTTTGCCAAGCCAGTAGTTCAAAAGCATGCAAAAATATAAGTAGAAAAATAGGGACCACTTTGGTGAGAAGGTAACAGCGTTCCGAGAGCCTTCGGTGTTTAGTCATGCCAGCCACAGGACCACGGAGACGTCTTTGGACAGCACTGGCTCTTCAGTTTTGTAATGGAGATGAGCACCGCTCCCTAGAGCTGGAAACGGCTAGCACGTATGCGTGAGAGGAACCTTTCCCTTTCCCTTAATGTGGATGCATTCATGCACAAGAATTTGCACTAGGTACTATCAGGTGAAGAGCAGCCATCTTCCTACATCTCTCCTCTTTTGCCAATGTGATCAGTAATCATTGTGGAACATTTTCGGATTCCAACCCTATTGGGAGGCAGCCTAGAACAAACAGGTTGCAATAGGAGGATTTGTGTGGGAGGAAAAGAACTGGCATAGGAATAAGAGAGCACATAATTGACAAGAGATAATAAGGAAAATGTTCTAATACTGAGCTGAAGAAGGATCTGTGGGAAAAGGCTGCTCTGTGCCAAGGGAACAGCAGGACTAGAAGGAAGTCTCACTTGGTTTTAATTTATTTTTCTCTTTGAAAGAACATGTATTATATGTCGGATGAGGTTTGTCATTAAAGGACATTTGGAAGGTTTACATAACTGCACTTTTTTCATAACATATAATATTAATACTGAAAGTGCTATGACATTAATTGAAAGGAATAGAAGTAAAAACAAGTTAAAAGTGAACTTTCCACTTGGAGGGCCAGCGGAGGCAAGCTGGAGTCTTGTAATGAACTCTTAGATTTGCCTTGAATTCCATGGTGACCTTCATGCCTTAATCTCAGCCTCCTTCTTCGTTCACAGGTTTCTGTCCTTGTACAGTTTCTCATCGAAAATTGCTGCAGGATCTTTGGGGAAGAACTTACTTCTGTCTTTGCAGATATTATGCCCAAAAATGACAACCGGGAAGATAGTTCAGGTAAGATAAACTAAAGGAAAAAAAAAACAGAAAAGTGCGGTGGGAGGCAAATGCAATATTCTAGCTTTTTAACCTAGTTTTCATAATTTTTTTTGACATTTTTTTAACGAGGGTTGCAATATATATTTCAGATCACACAATGGGGCTAGTCAGCATGTGGTCGAAAATGCAAGAGACTCCTAGGAACAAGTCACATGAAGGTGACTGAATAGCCTCCCACACAGCCATCACTTTGCTGGAACATATCTCAGGATGTCTTTAAGAATAGATGAAATTCATTTATTTATTTGTAAAATTTATTAGCTGCCCATCTTGCCACATGGTAAATCTGGGTGGTTTACAATATTAAAAGATAACACTGTATAATTTATAATAATTATACAAACCAAGGTACGCAGTGGTTAGAGTGCAGTACTGCAGACTACTTCTGCTAACTGCCAACTGCTTGCAATTTGGCCGATCGAATCTCACCAGGCTCAAGGTTGACTCAACCTTCCATCTTCTGAGGTCGGTAAAATAAGGAACCAGATTGTTGGGGGCAATATGCTGACTCTATAAACTGCTTAGAGAGGGCTGCCAAGTACTGTGAAGCAGTATATTCAGTAAGTCTAAGTGCCAGAGCCAATAATAGAAATACAATACTATAAAATCAACTTAGATAAAAAGAGGAGGGGAGGAAATAAGATGAGAGGGGAAGTGAGTAGGATCTTTGCTAATCAATCAACCACCCTCAATAGGAAGTCCCTCTGTTGAAACCCCAACTGGCAGAACCAGATATTTAAGGGTTGGAGCCAACCTCATTTTGGGGGTGGGGGGAGTTTAAGATGTTCCAAAGAACAGGTCCAGTGGCAGAGTAAGCCCTTTTCTTGGAGCCCGCTAGCCAGAATAATTGGGTTGATGGGACCCACAGAATGCCTCCTGTGCTGGCATAGGTGGGGCGGGCCAATCCCAGTAGGATGAGACAGTCCTCCAGGTAGCCTGAACCTATCCCATGAAGGACTTTAAAGGTAATTACTGACACCTTGAATTGGACCCAGAAGCAACCCAGCAGCCAGTGCAGTTCGCGGAGCAGTGGAGTTATATGGGCCACACTTGCCCCCCCAAAAAACTGCCTGTCCCCCTGCACCAGCTGCAGCTTCTAAATGCACCAACATTGACCTCTGAAAAATAGTAAATAAACCTACTGTTGTTTTATTAAGTATTTTTGCCCTAGGTCGAGCTGATGAAACCTCAAAATTTGGTAACACCCATTTTCATATTCTTGCAGATCTCTCTTCTTTTCATCTGAATGACTCCTCCTACGATAGTTTGGAAAACGAACTAAATGACTGCACAGACCCTGCATTTAACAACCTTTTTAAAAAGCGAGGGAAAGAGAACAGGAGTAGAGACTCTGTTTTGACTTTAAGCGACTGTGATTTGGACTCGCCAGAAGCTGGAGATGCTCAGATTAAGTTACCCATCAAATCTCAGCCAGTATCCATTTCCGTGGGCTTCCATCACAAATCTTCGTCACGGGAGCACTCTGAGAATGAGTCTCTGTGTTCCATCACGTCCGGTTATTCATCAACGGCCATCTCAGATGTTCTGAAAAGCTCAAGAAGGCACAGGCGCTGTTCAGAGCCCACAATTGGTCTTCTCGACTCCAAGTTTACACCACTCGGTGGGTTTCATGAAAGCGCGGTGCGCAAAGCCAGCTGTGATGCTGTTCTGTCCCATACGAATGAAGACTATCTCGAGCAGTTTCGTTCTCTCCAAGTAGAAGGCCAGAAACTTATAAATCAGAATTTGGTTACGGGGATAGAAGTAAGCAGCAAGGATGGTCCTGAAAGCCATATCAGTGAAAAGAAAGATGTTTCTAACCGTCTTCTCCTGCCGCCACCACTTAGATTAAATATTTGCTCAAGGACTAGCTGTTCTAGCCTCTCATCACCGGGAACTTCTCCATCAGGGTCTTCAATGAGCTCTCTTGATAGTGCTTTTTCCCAGTTTTCGGACTATTCGGTGTTTACCCCAACCGAGGCTTCCTCTCCTCTAGACTGTGCCTCTCAGCCACAGAGAAAATTTGGAGAGGTTTCTCCTGATTTTAATCCTTTTTCAGGAGTCCACCTTGGATCCGGAGTTAGCACTTTTTCTAACCAAGCCAACAATAACCAAACCAGCAGCTTAATACCTATTAAGAAAGATAACCTGGAATGGCTTCCTCATAAAAACCCGGTCACTCTGCATCCCAGCACATGGTTGAAAAGTGGTGCTTCCACCATGAAAAACTGGACACTACGGAAAAGGGAAAGAGCCTCCAAGCAGGATGAGAAAAAGAACACTTCTGTGAAAATAACTTTGGACTCAACAGCATTTCCCTCTAAAAGTGATGTAGTTCAGCGGCAACAAGAAATTTGTGTAACGGATGTCAATTCTGTGGCAGGGCACATGGGGAGCGGATCTTCTCAGGAAGTTGGGCAGCTCACTAGCCTTCCTTTTTGTGCCATGGAAGCCCAGGAGAAACGGCTAAAGGCCTTGGAGCTTTTAGCAGAGCAAAGCAAGGAAGAGGAAGAAGAGGAAAATTCTACACCGTTTCCTTCATACAAACAACAACCACCCAGTCTTAAGCCACAGTCTCAAAATAAACCCAAGCCAGAGGCTGATTTGGGGGCTGACCATCAGTGGGTCACTGAGAGAAAGTTCAGTGAAACCCCATATTTCCCAGGAGTTGCAGTCCAGCAAGCAGCAGATTCCAAAACTGATAAATCTTCATTGAGCAAAGAGCCCAAAGTTGCTGACATCAACCTGAGAAAGGAATGTTGTGCTTCTTCACACTTAGTCAAGGTTGAGGATGAATGTTCATTTCAAATGGCTCCAAATAATAGCTTTTCCAAAACCTCAGAAGGAACCGATGCTAATAAAATGGAATGGCTGAAAAAGTTGTGCAGTGACGCCAAATTCAAGGATACAGACCAGAAATTTTTCACAGAGGAATCCTACGTTTGAGCAACTGATTTAAAAGAATGTTATTTCAATTTGACTTGGTGTTGCTTTAATATCCCAGGGGATGTCGTCTCATCAGGGAACGGAGGGAACTTGTGCTCTTTGAGGGATGAGTGGAATGATTTTCTTAGCTATCTTCTTGCAATTTTTAAAGACATTTCCTGGTATCTAGGAAGGTCACATGAAATGTTTGGAGAGAAACTCTTGATTGTATAACACTAGCAAACACTTGTGTACGTGCTTGCTATTTAACTTTTTAAAAATATCTCATATATATTCTGGACATTGTAAATTTATGTTTTGTGTCCATGGTGATTTGGCTGTAATGTGTAAGATTGGCTTGGCCTTCATAGCTTTGGTATTGTATTGCTGTTTTGAAGCCAATGGTCTATTTCATTGTTCTCCAAGAAAGGATGTCTTAAAAGTTTTATGATTAGTAGTTGCAGTCACTTTCTTCCTTTACCAAGAGGGGAAAAAAAATAAAGGATGACTTTTGACCTTTTTTTATAACTTAAAAGTCCAAGTTATATGTATATCATCATACTGTGTTCCATTTGGCTATTTTTTTTTCCATTTTTGTTTCATTTTTGTTTTATGATGATGCTCTCCAATGGCATTACATTTTGCTGGTGGTGGTAGTGATGGCATTGCAGGCAGAGCTTACATAATTATTCTATGTGTCTTTATTATAATATATTGAAAGTAATGCATTTATCTTCCAAAAGCTTCAAGATTGTATAATATATCTTGGTAACTGTTTTTTGCTATTGTATATGTTCTGAAATAAATGTGTATTTTTGTACATGTGGAAAATAGTCGCCTTTTGAGTGGGTGGGCTCTGGCAAGAGATATGTAATCGTTCACTGAATTCTGAAATACAGAAGTTCATGCAGTCCTTGCTTAATGACCAAAATTGGAACATCACTTAACTGATGTTAAGTGTTGCAGACATTAAGTGAGACATTGCAGGACTGCAACAGACTTATGATGTTACTTCTGCCGTGGTTGTTAAATGAGATATCATGTGACCTCACCTTGCAATTACACTGCCGGCTTCTCCATTGACTCTGTTGGTGGAAACCAGCTGTGAAGTGCACAAAAGATCATCATGTGACTCAGAAATGCTGTGAGTGTCATAAATACAATGATACCCTGGTACTCTTTGTTAATTGGTTCTGGGAGACACACTGAGTACTAAAAACGAGTACCAAACAAACCATGTGACTTACCGCCTCACCCTTTATTTTGGTCTGGAAGGACTTTCTGTCTGTCCCTTTTCCTATGTCAGAGACCTTCCCAGCATGGCCGACTTCCTGTCCGCCCTCTGCAACGGTCCTCAGCTTCCTTTTCTAGTAATATTCCCAGCATAGCCAACTTCTACCAAATCAAGACCAAATCAAACGAGAAAATTAAATTGAATTAAAGTTAATGTGGTATCTCATTTAAAAATTCTCATTTTGGGTCACGTGAAAACTACAAATCGGCAACATATTTCAGAATAATTATTTAGTATGGGGTGTTTTGCTGGTTGTATATTTAAAATAGGCCATCAGTCTTAATTTTTGCAACCCTGTTGATTTCTTCTTTTGCATTCCCAGTTCCCTTCAGGACAGTTCTTCTACTGTGAACTCTTGTCTCGAACTGCTTGAATGGATTATTCAGTTGATGAGGCAGGAAATCAGCCAGTAAAACAACATCTTTTCAGCTTGTTTCCTTTTTTAAAGTTGTGCTAAAGAAGACAAAAGCTCTGACATTGACATTGGGAAGCTGTAATTCTGGCTCCTATTGCTTTGGTGTTTTGTTGTGGAGGGGAAAAAAAAACTCACAGTCTTCAGACCATTGAGAATTTTAGAATAATTATAATTTCTCACCCAAGAAGGGGTGCTGCTTTGTGGGCTCAGGGCTGCCCACATTCCATGTGTTTTCTCACTCAACAGTTATTTGAGCATATGGAAGGAACTTTTATTGATCTGTTCATAATGGAACATGCTGGGTAATTTTAAAATTTGAGCGACTGAAAAGTAATCACGCCTCTTCAGAGGAGAGTCCCCACAATCTGGGATTTTAAATTCTTTTGCTTTTAAACCTCTGTTTCTTTCCTTTAAAACAGATGGATCAACTTCAGGAAAGTTGTATCTTATCTTCTTTTCTCTTAAAAACCTAAGATTCACTAACAAGCATCCAGTTCCAAACTGGGACCAGGGCAATTAGACTGTTTACCCATTGTACCTGAGATGGTCAGATTTGCATGTGGCAGTATTAAAACTGCACATTTTAACAGTGTGGAGATGGTATTATCTTTGTTTTCTTGTAAGTACTATAAACAAAAATAACCCCTATCAGTAAATCTCAAGCTTCCTTATTTAGAAAAGCTATATGGCCATCCATCTTACTCACTAACTTTGGGCAGCTAACGACAATCAGCAAAAAGCAATACACTATAATAAAACTTGCAAATGTCATAAGCTTCTTTCATTTCAGGAGGGAATTCAACAAACTTAAACTAGATCCTTTGTGAATTTCTATTCTTCCAAAAATAATTCAAACACAAAAAACATTGAACATTGCAAAACGTTTCACAGAATGGAAATCCAAAAATAATAAACTTTAATTCTTCCTTTTTTATGAGTTCAGGCAAAGGACTTCATTCAGAAAGCAGAATATTTGCAGTGTTGTTCAAGAACTTCATATTATGTTACCAGAGATTAATTGTTCCTCTGCTTTTAAGCTAATACATATTCCTGAAAATGATGCCGAAAAACAAGATCAAGAAAATATGACTGAATTCAGCAGACACTACAGCTACTTAACTTTATGTCAATGTACCAATGCTAGTACCACCTAAGGCAGGGGTGTCAAACTCGAGGCCCATGGGCCGGATTTGGCCCACCGTATACATAAGTGGGAAGGTAAATGAGCCATCATTTCTCAGACATCTGAAAGGTTTTCTTCCACCCAGAGAAGGCCTATGGGCAACGAATTCTAAAACCTCATGAGCTGTAACTGGTAGATGTTTTGAATAAACAACATGCAATCATATTGCAATGCAAACTCTGCCCTTTTTTTGCATGTGATGTCACAATGCAAATACAAAAGGTCAGTATGTGTCCTGACATCACGTTTTGTCATTCTGGCACCACTATGGTTAGGAACAGAAAACTATATCACTGCCCAAAAGGGGTTTCTGACCTTGAGTTGGTAGCCTTTTAACAGCATCTTTCTCAATCTGAAACCCACTGTAGGGGTTGAACCAGACAGTATGCTTGTGATCTCAAGTTCTAATTATTAGTTTTAGCAACCTGTCATGTACCATATCATTCTAATTTCAGGTTTAAACTCTAGAATTGTATAGCATTCTTGGTTAGACAGGAAAAGGTGTTTTGGACATTGTGTGAACTAAATTCCCTAAAAAGATGGTCTTTTCTTGAGATAACAAACACAGTGTGATCATGGGAAAAATCATATTTGATTTAAAAGATGGTCAACAGATGCTACTTATCCATAGTTGCTTTCAATTTAAGTTCAGCATTATGAATTTAGATTCAGCACGTAAACCTTAAAGCAAATTTTTCCTGGACAAGTTTCTGCAACTATTTTTGGCAAAGGTTTTCCGAAGTGGTTTGCCATTGCCTCCCTTCTGGGGCTGGGGCTGGGACTATTCCAAGAACACCTTTGTGCCAAAAGATGGGACTAGAATTCACAATCTCCCAGTTTCTAGCCTGATGCCTTTAATCACTACACCTAACTAGCTCTTACATAGAGAATAGAATCTAGCTATATTACACTTTGATTGGAATGATGTAAAATACACTCCGGGTCCTGTGAAAGTGATAAATTAACAGCTAAGCCCTGATATCCATCATCCCCATACTCTGATGAAATAGATACTGAGCCCAATGTTTTGAAAAGCAAAATAGTTCTTACTACTAAAATATTTCAGGATTCTTTGGGGTTATTATTATTATTTCTTTAGTCCTTGACGCTTGTTTAGTTCAACGGTTCAGCAAAGTATAATTAATGAGGTGGGGGTGGGAGTTAAAAGGATCTGGTTACTCATTTTGCCCTGATCAGAAACAGAAATATGCAACCCTCTGCTAGTAAAAATGGAGCGCAGACCTCGTGTGGCCCTCCCAAGCTCCGTTTTCGCTGGCAGTGGCACCGCGGATCGGTCTTTTGCTGTTTCCAGAGCGGCCCCGTGGGTCAGATCTAAGCACCCCACGGGCCTTGAGTTTGACACTCCTGATATACATGATCAGCATCAATTAGTTGTTAGGCGGAGTGAGAGATGCTGCTTCTCTCTCCCATTGCACCTAAAAGATTATTGACATTGTTAGTGTTGATCATATCACCCAAACCAAGCTAGTTATGCTTTCTCTATTCAGACTATATTGGCAGTCCTTGACTTACCATTTGTTTGGTAACTATTGGAAGGTATAATGGCACTTAAAAAAGTGACCTGTGATCATTTCCCCACTTATAACCATTGCAGTATCCCCATGGGCACGTGATCAAAATTCAGGGGCTTGGCAACCGGCATGCATTTATGATAAATTTATGATACACGCTGACATGTAATCACTATTTGTAAACTTCTCAGATAGCTTCTGACAAGCAAAGTCAAGGGTGGACGCCAGAGTTGCTTAACAACTGCAGTGATTGCCTTAGCAGCTGAGGCAAAAAAGGTGGTAAAATGGGGTACACAACTCACTTAACTGCCTTGCTTAACAACAGAAATGTTGAAGTCAGTTGTGGCTGCAAGTCAAGGTCCACTAGTAGTTTGGTGCAAGTGTGGTACAAATTTCCATGTTTACTGCTTCAGAAACCTATATATGAATTATATCTTAAAGGAGCAGATCTGAAGGCATATACCAGGGGACCAAAACAGATGCCAAGATGGCGTCCAGAACGCAACTGAAACTGCTATCTTGACTTTTTTTTAGTTATCTTGCAGATGACCTCGAAACTTTACCTTTTATTTACTAGCAATGGCAATACTGAATTAAATTTCACAATTTTGCTAAGTTGTTTTATGTGCCTTTTTAAAAGAATTGCACCCAACTAATGTTTAATATTGAATTTCTGTATGCAACATGGGGATTCTGTAGGAAAGGGAAAATATAATTTTTAAAAATACATGGCAACAGTCAAATTCTGCTGATATTACAACCAAAAAGATATATTATAGGATACACCACCAGTCACATGCAGAGAGAGGGTAGGGGAGGGAGAGAGAGAGAGAGAGAGAGAGAGGAAGGAGTGTATGCACACACACTTTTTTGCCAAATATTTTTATAACCACTTTTTTTTTCAACGGTGTAGACCACACATATGTCTTCTACTGGAAATTAGGTCCATATGTGCAGACTTTTCAATTTAGCAAATGAAAATATTTAAAGACAAGAAGG